TCAAATTATTTGTGATTTTGGGAAGCAGTTTCTTCTGTCTCACTTCTCATACTACCATCTTTTAACCACATTAACACTTTTGAAAAGATTAAAAGGTACAAACATTCATTCTACACATTCCTATACCTTTATATAAGTATCACTGTAGGTCTGGGCCAGAAGGGTTTCCCAGCTCTGGGCAAATTCACTCTGGATGGAGTGAGACCAAAAAATGACAACAGAATGGGGTGTAAAAAGGGGCTTATACCAAACTCCATTATCACAGGTAGATTGAGTGTTAGAAATATGTTCACATTTGGCTGTCCATCTCTGCTCCAGCTATCAGTCTGCTATCAGCTGTTCCCTCACCTCTACCCTTGCTTTGCTATGCTCTGGTCTTAGCACCTGGTAAACTACTTTTAATAGTAACACAGCAATAATGACTTAACTTGAATGGGTATGCAAGCATACACCTGTGTAGTAGGCTAAGTATTACATCATTGTATGTACACACTGGGAGAGTAGTATAAGATCAGGTGAGGATCCTGGCCAGAGAACTTCCATTTTCCCTACATTCTGCTCCTCCAGGGTTCTCACCTTCCAAACTATGTGCTCTCAATCTTCCACGATGGTTCCTATGCAAGAAAGCTGAAATATAGTAAGCAGATCCCACAACAGAACAGATGGTACATCAACCTATAGATAACAACAATTATGACAGAGATGACAAATTTATGATAATAGTAGTCCTCAAGCCTACCACCAAGTGGTCATTCTAGCTGTATTCCGACTAGTTCTACTCAGATGAGTCTGTGACTCATACTTTCCAGAGGAGGCCAGTAGTGGAACCAGCAGGAAGCTCTATGCACAGCCAGAAAATACCAGTTTTTGCTAGGGTGTGTGTCTAATACATAAAGCATTAGAGGAGATTAATCTTAAGGGTGATAGGACACATGCTTTAATGACACCAACATTGGCCAATCTTGTACACAGTATACTCCTTTGGGGGTAGACCCCCTATTCCCACTGGTATTTGGGTTTGTTTCACTCTGATAGCCTTACCCCCATATCCATGTATAATAACAGTGCCCCAGGAAAGCAATCAGGGTTGCCATGATTCAATCAGCATTTAGCTTCTGTGCCCACCAGACCAAGGACATGTTGCACATTCACTGGGGACCAGTGAATTGAGATTTCAACATAAGGTGTTCAGTCCCCATTTGGTTCCAAAGTGGTGACCTTGACCCTACCCTCAGTGAAACTGTACCACCCAGTCATACTGTTTCAAGGGTCCAGGAGGGATAGGCTTAGTCTCTAGCAGAAGTCCTACAGGCACACAGGCCAGACTTGTGGCTCGGTCTCTGACTTCCATTTCTTGGTATTCTCCTTAGTCAATAACAGGAGCTGCTGCTCTGGCTTCAATTTTTGCTGCAGTTCCAGTGAGGTTTTGTCTGTCTTCCCAACCAATTTTTCTGTGTCTGCTCCTGCCTATATTATATCAGCCCACATCTGGGTCCTCGTGATCTTCACAGGGGTTTTAAACTCTTCTTCTCAGCAGACTGCTCTCCCTTCCATGCTTGCATTGCCTCTCAGCCTTTGCCAAATCTGCCACAGTATGGGTAACCTCATTTATGAGTTGCCTAAGTGAGGGGCAGTAACGGCCACTAGGGGCACAAAGAGATAAAAGGGAACTGTTTGCAACACCATATCCCTCATCCCCATGGTAAAGAGCTCCTCATCTGGGCCTTGATTTCCTGGGTTTTATATGGCAAATTTCATATCCAACTCCAATTAATAGTTTTTGGACATCAGCATATGTCTGCCATTTAGTGGGTGTAGATGGTAAGTCATCTTTATTGGTCCATATAGTGCAAAGTATGGCCATAATCCAATTAAGGGAGTGGTTGCTTGGGATCTTATATGCATTTAGTTATTCTTTCCTCAAGGCAGCAAGAGATGTCAGGGAAGCCAGCTCTCACATTTATAACCTGGGCAGAATAATCCCATCCAACCCTACATCTCAAAGGTGAAGGAGACAGGCTCACATGGATTCCGATGGTTTCTGACAAACTGAGAGCCCATATCCACCTGCTCTGCCTGCATATGGGATGGAGCATGGAATGCTTCAAAACCCAGCAAAAGACCTTCACCACTATTAGAAGGGCCTGTTATTTCTGTGTTTTTATTTTCTTAACTACAATTGGTCATTATTTAAATAGAGGAGGGGTTGGTACCTCTGGCATTATCTCTTCCTCCCAATTCTCCCCCAGTGCATCACCCACCAGTTCCAGAGCTGACAGAAACTTCTTACCACCCCACAGTGCACCTCTGTCTCAATCAGAACTACATCCTTTACCCTCTCCACAGTGCTTCCCATTTATGCCTTCTCAGTCATCAACAAATCTTTTACCTCCTCCACCACACTTCACAGCCTGCATTCTCATGCTGCCTCTTCTCTTGCTTCTCACAGGAGTACATCCTTCTCCTTTAAGTCCTTTCTTAATACTGGGAGAAATAGCCAACCCTCAGTTCCTGCTAACATGTGCGCATCCTGTTTCTTTAAGGATTACCCAATATCATAGAGGGCCTCCAACACTCCCTTAGGCATCACCTCTACCTCCCCTCAGACCTAGGGAGGGGCTCACTCTTCAAGAGGAGAGCCACCTCAGGCCATATGCCCACTGGGGGATAGCTTGTGTATCCCCATCCACAGAGGAACCTGCTGAAGTATCCCTCCCATGAGGGCAGCTTTTTACATTTTTTAGTTTGAAGCAAATCTTAGTGACTGTGCCAAAATATAGTTGGTGGCCAGAAAGAATGCCCAACTCCCAGCAAGTTCATTGTGGATTCAGTAAGACAGAAAAATGACAACAGAATTTTGACAGTGTAAGGGGGCTTATACCAATTTTTATTCTCATGGAGGTAGGTTTAGTGGTAGAATCACATCTGCATCTGGTTGTCTGCCTCCACTCTAGGCTCTGTCTTCTCTCCATTCTCTGCCCTTGCCACCAGCCTCTGCTCTGCTCTTAGCATCAGGCAAAGCTCTTTTTATAGCTACACAGGTAATAATGGCTTATCATCAATGGGAATGCAAGCATTTGCCTGAGAGGGCTAAGTATTACACCATTGCAGGTACACAGTGGGTGAGTATTTAGAAATCAGGAGAGGATCCTAGCCATGGAACTTACATTTTCTTTACTCTCACATAACTTTTTATTTCACTATTAGAAGCCAGTGTGAATTTTCTATATTTTTATAAGTAGTTTTCTTTATTCCTTCATCTAAACTCGGAAGCTATGCATATTTATTTTTAAGTATATTCTAAACATATCCTCCCTACTGTTACTAACAATGGATAATTGATTACATGTTTGTTGATCAGATTTAATATGGAAGTCACATAATTTCTATTAGGGATTTTAGCAATTTGGGGCACAACACATCAAGTTGCTTACATTCCTTTTAAAAGCATTATGATGATTCATGCTCCTCATGTGATGTTTCTTTTTCTAATTGACTGAAATTATTCTGTGCCTGCTGATGCTCCAAATGTCCCTTGGGTCACTACGGTCTTCATTTTGACCTTTGATGCTTTAGCGCTATTGCCATAACCCTGGAATTATGTTTACTTGAGAAATAGATGATGACTTTATAGGGTCTTCTTTATTATCTTCATCCCAAGACACAGAAGCAGTTACTCCTCAAGGAGCACTGCTTCTTCATGATGGAAGTTAGTATTTGAGAAAATATTGGGGACTCAAGGTATCAATTAGGCTGCTTGTCTTGAACCCTGGAGAGCAGCCCTGAAGAAACTCTATTGATGTAATAAATCTTCTCTTTCTTCCTCCATCATCTGATTCATGGCTTCCACTCCAGTTCTGGCTTTGAATTTTTGTTATTGGTCCAACCAAATTATACTTTTCTTAATCCTCAGTTTTGATAGAGGTTATCAAATATAGATTTACTAGTTACAGAGTGACTGTTGAAATATTTTACAAATTCCTCTTCCCTATTCTTAGAGGGGCACATGGTCCAAGATTCCTGGAATTGCTGTCAAAATATACAATTATGGTGCTCTTCTTTGTCAGCTATTCCTGAGATCAACTCTTTGGGAAAAATGAAAAAAAGAGAAACTTGAGGATCTTCTCGAAGAACCCCAAATCAACTAACCTCAGAATTATTTGCATAGAACAGATTTTTTTTCATAAGACTAGTGACAGGTGATAATAAAAGGCTAATATATGCATGTATGATGACTCACAAGGCTTTTTGTACATTCTACATGTCACCAGTGTTTGAAAGTTTTCTTTTACACTTTTATTTTGTGTCGTAGTTGAAATTGTCATTATGGACAGTTCAGTTGCTTATTTGCAATTTCTCAAGCTTCCCTGTTAACAGTCACATCTGTTATTTCACAGTAATACTATCCATTTTTTGGATTGCTCTAAACAAGCTGAATATTAACAAATAAAATGAAATTTAAATAAAAGTTAACCAAAAATGTCATGAACAAATAACTGTTATCCAGAAAGTTTATGATGAAATGGTTCTGGAAACCTGGTCAAACCTAAGGCACTGTAGTTCCATTACAGGCATAAAAAGGCTCAGCTCATAGACTGTCAGGTTTGAGAAATGGACAATTGCTTCCGAAGCCTGTTTAAGTCATGTTTGTGTATTTATTTTTACTGTGTTGGGATACATCAGAATTCTGATTCAAGCATTACTTTTGAAACTATCTCAATAATTACTTTTAAGTGTTTCCCCTGTAGCTCCATGAAAGGAAGACACACATGTAAACTCAAGACTTAGCCATGATCAGCAGGCTCCTGGGAAATGAGGTAAAGCCCACACATCCAGAATCTGGGATAGTAGCTTTCAGAGCCAGCAGGTTTTCAGGATCTGTGGATAAAACTAGAAATCAATTTCTCTTCTTAATTATGGCTGAGAAGCAAGGATATGGAAGGGAAGGACATATAAACTTGTACTATATTTCTTTCAAATAATTTATCTGTGTTTTGCAGGCAATTGAGTTATGGAAGACTTAGAATTTTTACTCAAATTTAAAGGATGCCATTTTATACATTCTGAAGTTAATGTTGACTTTTTAGAAAATATGGATGATTTTGAAATCAGAGAAGATGATGTCTTCATAGTCTCATACCCAAAATCTGGCAAGTAATTTCTCTATTCTGATAACAAATCAAATAATTGAATGGCTTTTCTGTAATATAGGACTAAGTATTTTCAGTAGTATTATGTATGGTCATATACTCTAAATCTTTTGGGTATTGAAAGACAAGTCAATTCATGTCTCATGAAATAAGGTGTTTACAATGTAGCTAAATTTATTTCTGATTTGGCAAGTGATAGGAACTAAATGAAGAAGAAATTGGATTGAAGAAAATAAGTAAAAAATGTAGTGATGAAGTGGCTTGGAAAGGAGGCAGGAATATTTACCCTTAGGCAAGGAGTTGGGACAGAAGATATAAACTATATTTAATGACCTGTGAAGAAGGAAATTTAACTTATACTAATTATAAATAATATGAAATATATACAACAAAAATTCAACAGTTCAATATTTGTGGGACACCACAAAAGCAGTTTCAATAGGGAAGTACATAGCTATATAGGCCTACCTTTAGAAACAAGAAAAATCAAAATAAACATTCTAAACTCTCAATTAAAGAAACTAGAAAAAGAAGAACAAATGGAACCCCAACTTGGTAGAAGGAGGGACATAATAAAGATGAGAGGATAAATAAATAATACAGGAAGGAATGAAATAATAGAAAAAGTACATGAAAACAAGAGCTGTTTTTTTGAGAAAATAAACAAAATAGATAAATCCCTAGCCAGACTTATCAAAAGAAAAGGAGAGCATCACACATAAATAAAACCATTAATAACAAGGGAACAGTCACAGCAGATACCACAGAAATCCAAAGAATTATGAGAATATTATGAAAAATTATATGCCAATAAATTGGACATCCTAGTAGAAATGGACAACTTCTTAGGAAAGTACAATCTTCCAAGACTGACACAGAAATAAAATCTAAACAGACCAGTTACCAACAATGAAACTGAATCGGTAATCAAAACTCCCAGTAAACAAAAGTACAGTATCAAATGGCTTCACATTTGAATTCTACCAAGCAATTAAATAGCTATTATCCATCCTTAAAGTATTCCAAAAGTAGAAGAGGAAGGAATACTCCCAAACTCATCTTATGAGGCCAACATTGCTTGCTCTAATATAACAACCATACAAAGATCCTAACAGAAAAAAAGGAAAATTTAGACCCAAATTCCTGATGAACAAAGGTGCAGAAATCCTTAACAAAATACTAGCAAGCCAAATGGATCATCCTTCAGGACCAAGTTGGGTTTATTCCAGGCATGCAAGGATGGAATGACACCATAAATCAATGTCACACACCACATTAAAAAGTGGAAGGCTAAAACCACATGATCATCTCAATAGATGCTGAAAAAGCATTTAACATAATTCAACATCCATTCAAGATAAAATATCTCAACAAACTGGGAATACAAGGTACATCCTCAACATAATAAAGGCCATACATGACAAACCCACAGGTAACATCATACTGAATGGCATAAAGCTGAAAGCTTTTCCTCTATGATTGTGAACAAGACAAGGATGTCCACTCTCACCACAGTTACTCAACATAATTCTGGAGCTCTTAATCATGGCATTCAGAGAACACTAAGAGATATATGCATCCAAACTAGTAAGGAAGAAGTTAAATTGTCACTATTTGAAGATATCCTGATATTACACATAGAAACCCTAAAGACTACATCAAAAATTATTAGAACTAATAACTGGATTCACCAGTGTTGCAGCATACAAAATTAAAACACAGAAACCTGTTGCATTCCTATAAGCAAACAACAAACTAGCAGAAAGAAGAATCAGGAAAACAATTCTATTTACAATTGCATGAAAAATAACTAAACAATTAGGAATAAACCTAACCATAGGCGTGAGATACCTACACTCTGAAAACAAGAAGACATTCATGAATAAATTAAAAAAGAAACAAATAAATGGATATCTATCCTGTGCTCATGATTAAGAAACTGTAATTGTATCAGAATGGCCCTCCTGCCCAAAGCAATTTACAGACTCATTGCAATCCCTATCAAAATACCAATAGTATTTTTCAAGGAACTAAAACAAATAGTTCTAAAATTCATATGGTATCACTGAAGACCTTGAAAAGCCAAAACAATCCTGAGAAAGAAGAAAAAATTGGAAGAGATTGCACTGCCTAAATTCAAGCTATAATACAAAGCTACAGTAATAAGAACAGTATGTTACTGATATGAGAAGAGACCCAGAGATCAATGGTACAGTAAAGACAGCCCATATATAGTCTCACAAATATATGGCCAATTAGTATATGATAAAGGATATATGAATATACAATGATGAGAAGACGATCTCTTCAGTAATGTGTTGTAAGAACTGGACAGCTATCTTCAAGAGAATGAAACTGGATTACTGTCTAACCCTATATGAAAGAGTAAACTTGAAATGAATCAAAGATATGATTGTAAGACATGAAACCATAAAACTCTTAGAAGAAAACTTAGGTACAACTCTCTGAACATAAGTATGAGCAATATTTTCCTGGATGCATCTTCTTCAGCAAGGGAAACATAATAAAAAATGAACACATGAAACTACATCAAAGTAAAAAGTTTCTGTACAGGGAATGATACAACCACAGAACAAAAAGGCTACCTACAGTATGGGAGAATATATTAATTAATTAATTATCCAATAAGGGGTTAACATCCAAAATACATAAAGAGCTAATACGCCTCAACACCAATAAAGAAATAACCTGATTTGAAGTGGGCAGAGGACTTGAACAGACAACCAAAGAAGAAATTATGATTGCCAACAGGGACATGAAAAGATGCTCCACATTGCTAATTATCAGGGAAATGCAAACCAAAACCACAAAGAGATATCACCTCAGACCAGTTAAAATAGCCACTAACCAAAAGACAAAAAATAACAAATGTTGGCTTGAATGTGGAGATATGGGAACTCTCCACACTGCTGGTGGGAATGTAAATTGGTACAACTGCTTTGGAAAGCATTATGGAGGTATGTCAGAAAACTAAAAACAGAAATATGATTGACCCAGTAATTCTACTTCTAGGAATTTACCTGAAGGGAACAAAACCTCTGATTTGAAAAGATATGTGCACCCCTGTGTTTATTGCCACATTATTTACAATAGCAAAGATATGGAAGCAATCTAAGTGTCCATCTGTAGAAGAATGGCTAAAGCAGATGTAGTAAATATATAGAATGGAATATTTTTCAGGCAGAAAAATTAAAGAAATTCTGCCATTTGCAACTACAAGGATGGATCTAGAAAGCATTATGCTCAGTGAAATAATCCAGGTGGAGACAGACAAATACCATATGATTTCACTGAAGTTTAGAATATAAAAATAAATCAAAACAAAATGAACAAAACAGGAGTAGACTCATAGACACTGAAGGTGGTTACCATGAGAGAGTGGCTGCGATAGGTGGATGGGGAGGCTGAGGGGGATAAAGAGGTATGAAAATTCTCACTCATATTATATAAGTTGTTATGGGTATACTAGTACACCATGGAAAGTATATTCACTGATTCTGTAGCATTTTTCTATGTTGACGGAAAGTAACAGCACTAGAAGGGGTGAGGATTTAACAACATGGGTAACTGTTGAACCACTGTGTTTTATATTTGAAAACAACAGAAGATTGTTTACAGCAATATGTCAATTGAAAATTTTAAAAAGTGAAAAGACAACCCACAAAATGAGAGAAAATATTTGCAAATCATATATCTGGTAAGGAACTCTAATGAGATACCCCTTCACACTCACTAGGATGGTGACAACCAAAAATAACAGTAACAATTGTTGGCAAGGACATGGAAAAATTAGAACTCTCATATATTGCTGATGGGATTATAAAATGGTACAGCTATTCTATAAACTGGTTTGGCAGATGCTCAAATATTAATACATAGAGTTACCATATTACCCATAAATTCTACTCCTTCTTGCCCCAAAGAAAGAACACATTATGCCTACACCAAAAATCATACATGAATATTCATATCAGCATTATTCATAAGAGCAGAAATGTAGACCAAAGACAAATATCTATGAACTGAAGAAATGACAAGCAAAGTGGTATAGCTGTAAAATAGAATATTATTTCGTCATAAAAAGGAATGGAGTACTGATAAATGTTAAAACTTGGATGAACCTTGAACATAGTGTATAAAGTGAAAGATGCCAGACAAAAAAGGTCACGTATTTTATGATTCCATTTATGCAAAAACTCCAGATGTGTGAATTTATAGATAGAAAGTCAATAGTGGTGGCTTGGGGCTGAGGGTTAGAAGAGGAATTCTGATGAGTTATCATAAAAAAATATAAAAAATGTTCATTGACTGCGAATAGCTACGGAAATATTTGCAAAGCAATTGGTGGGTGGGAAATATTCTAAAATTAGATTGTGCTAATGATTGTACAACCCTGTGAATATGTTTTTAAAAACCTATGGGTTGTACAGATTATGTAGTGAGTTGTAACCAATGGGAATTATACTGATTTTTTAAATATTTTTATTAAGGTATGATTGATATACACTCTTACAAAGGTTTCACATGAAAGAACAATGTGGTTACTACATTTACCTATATTATCAAGACCCTACCCATACCCCAAAGCAGTCACTGTCCATCAGTGCAACAAGATGCCACACATCCACTATGTGCTTTCTTTGTGCTACACTGTTCTCCCCTTGACCCCCTACACCATGTGTACTAAACATAATATCCCTCAATCCCCTTCTCCCTCCATCCCCACCTGCTCTCCCACACCCCTCCCCTTTGGTAACCACTAGTTCATTCTTGGAGTCTGTGAGTCTGCTGCTAATTTGTTCCTTCAGTTTTGTTTCATTGTTATACTCCACAAATGAGGGGAATTATTCAGCGTTTGTCTTTCTCCACCTGACTTATTTCACTGAGCATAATGTCCTCCAGCTCCATCCATGTTGTTGTAAATGGTAGGATTTGTTTCTTTCTTATGGCCAAATAGTATTCTATTGTGTATATGTACC